CTTAGAGCAAACCAGTTTGCTCCGATCAGCTTAGAGCGAACCGGTTTGCTCCGATGATCAGCTTAGAGCGAACCGGTTTGCTCCGATGATCAGCTTAGAGCGAACCGGTTTGCTCCGACGATCAGCTGGGCCTGCCCGCATGCCATTGCACTTACCTATTTCCTCTCACCTGATTAGCACAGCAGAGAGGATTGCTGCACCTCAGCTGTGTTACTCCCCAAGAAGTAACGTGGAAGGTAATGTTTGGTAAAACTGTCTCACTCCTACACACTCAAGGCACTAACCTCTCCAAGTTAATTTCAATGGAGGCTGATTCAATGAACACTGAACACTAATAGTTTAGCTAAGAGCAAACATTGTTTTCCCGTAAATTCAATTGAGTTGTCCCGTGAAAACAGTTCCTCCCACTCCTTACTCTGTACGATTGTCTTCCTATTTTCTTTAGAAGAATCTGGAGCTAGCAGAACAGGCTGAAGAATGGAAAGGGAGGACTGGCGTAAAATCAGAACAGCCTTTCCAACCTTCTCCAAGAGAAACAGAACGCTCCGATAATTGCTGCTTTTCTATTTCTGTTTGCAAGCCTCTTTCAAGAGACTCAGAATGATTAGAGACGGGAAAGTAGGGTTAGTTTACTTCGTGTCTCCTTTTGTAGGAGAAGTTCATCCATTTTTGGCAGTTTGAGTGTCTAGCAAGACTGCTGAGCCACAATGGACTATACCCAGTTGGAAGCCTCTCTCCTCTCCTCTCTTTCTCCATCCCCAGAGTTAGCCTGCAGTACTGCATTCTGTGGTGGCACAATGGTTAGAATGTAGTAAAGGTAAAGGTTTCCCTCGCACATATTTCCACTCATTCCCAGCTCTAGTGGGTGGTGCTCATCTCTGTTTCAAAGCCGAAGAGCTGTCCGAAGATGTCTCCGTGGTCATGTGGCCGGCATGACTGAACGCCAAAGGCGCACAGAATGGCGTTACCTTCCCACCACCAAAGGTGGTTGCTATTTTTCTACTTGCATTTTTACCTGCTTTCGAACTGCTAGGTTGGCAGAAGCTGGGACTAAGTAACGAGAGCTCACTGCATTATGTGGTGCTAGGGATTCGAACCTCCGAACTGCTGATCTTTTTGATTGACAAGCTCAGTATCTTAGCCACTGAGCTCTTCTTAGAGTGTAGTACTGCAGGCTAATTCTGCTGACTGCCAACTGCCAACAGCTGGCAGTTCTATTTTCACCGGTTCAAGCCTTGACACGGCCTCCCATCCTTCCGAAGTGGGTAAAATGAGGATCCAGATTTTTTTTTTGGGGGGGGGCAATATGCTGACTCTGTAACCCACTTAGAGAGGGCTGTAAAGCACTGTGAAGCAGTATATAAGTCTAAGTGCTATTCTAACCACTGCACCACCACAGCTCTGATTATCTATTTATTTTATTATTTTTTGAGGTTTTTGAGTGTTAACAGGTCACCATCCTTAGTGAGATAGTGAAAATAATAATGCCCTTCCCTACATCTCGGATACTGTTATGTAAGCTCCTCGTTGGGAGAGCGAGTATGTTCAGCGAAGCATTGTGAGAGTTGTGTTGGAGAACATACAAACCAGCATACAGAGACA